GTGTGGAGCCCCTGTTGGCGGCCCTACCCTGCCTGGGGAGTGGTGGGTGGATGGGGTTGGGGGTAGGTTTGAGGTGGGAGAGAAGGAATGGCGGTAAGGGGAAGGAGAGGTAGAGGGGACTTATATGTGAAACAAGCCATTTCCCTAACTTGAATTAATAACAATAATAATAATAATAATAATAATAATAATAATAATGAGAGAAAAAAGGGGAAATAAGCAACCTATGAACACTACTAAAGAGAAAAAACTTACTTTTTGACATCTATTATTTGGCTATCTACATTGCATGTAAATTAAATATTCTTCCTCATTCAAAAAAAATGTCAGTGTAATGGTGCCTAATATTCTGCTATACTCATAGATTGGTGCCTAGCCTAATAGTCATCAGAAAGGCTTCATCTACCAACTGGTGAAAAACAGATGCAGAGACACACAGTCAAATGTCAAACATTAGGCAGAGCTGGGGGAATCCTGCTGAAGAGAGGGTAGAAGGATTGTAGGAGAGGACATTACAAGAAAACCCACAGAACCAATTAACCTGGACCCATAGGAACTCACAAAGACTGAACCAACTAACAGGATGCCTGTATGAGACTGACTTAGGCCCTCTGCATATATCTGATAGTTGTGTAGCTTGATCTTCTTGTGGGACTCCTAATAGTGGGATCAGGGGATGTCTCTGACTCTTTTTCTGGCTTTTGAGACCCTTTCCTCATACTAGGTTGCTTTGCCTAGCCTTAATATAAGGAGAGGTACTTAATCTTACCACAACTTGATATGCCATGTATTGACAATATCTACGGGAGGCCTGTCCTTTACTGAATAGAAATGGAGGAGGAGTGGATGGAGGAGAGATAGAAGAGAGGTAGAGGGGAAAGGGGGGAAACTGTGGTTGATATGTAAAATAAATAAATGAATAAATAAATGCATATCAAAAAAATCCCTAACAATGAAGGAATATATAAACAAACACTATATCTATACAAAGGACATGTTGCTTGCATTCAAAATCAAGAACCGCTGGTCCATACAATAGCATCAGTGAGCCTCCTACATATATTGCTCAACATGCCACAGTATCTGACTCTACAATGAGAGAATCCCCCTTGGAGTACAGTTATTCTCTCCCCCACACTCCTGCTTTCTTCTTTTAAATTCAGTTGCTTGAGACACAGTTAAGATTGCCTTCAAGCCAGGCATTGGTGGCGCATGCCTTTAATCCCAGCACTCCGGAGGCAGAGGCAGGCAGATCTCTGTGAGTTCGAAACCAACCTGGTCTACAAGAGCAAGTGCCAGGACAGCCTCCAAAGCCATAGAGAAACCCTGTCTCGAAAAACAAAAGCAAAAACAAAAACAAAATTGCCTTCAATAAAATGTACCCATTTCATTTTGGTTACTCCATCACTGACTGTGGCTCAGTTGTGAGACTCTAGCAAGCATGAAGTCTAGGCTTCAGAACCATGTAAAAAGTAGGCATGGTGGCATTCGAAAAAGGTACCCATTTTAAAATGCAGATAAGTAAGTATAACAAATGTTTACATCTACCACACAAACAATTCAGTCGAATTTCCAGAAAGCTTCTTCAAGTCCCTTTGGCACGAGTCCTCTCTGCAGGCAACAACAAAGCTGCTTTCTGGGCTGTAGATGAGCTTTGCCTTTGTAGGATTTCCCAGAGATGGTAGTAAATGGCTCTTTCACTCACAACCATGTTCATGGGGTTCTTCCATGTCGTGACATGTCAACTGACCATTACTTTTTAGTTCTGAGTTGACTAGACTGTGATAAATACTGGGGGTACCTTGACTAACATATTCCCTTCCCTGTTGAGCCATGCTGTGGTCTGAATATGAGATGGCCCCCGGTAGATGCAGGTATTGAGTGCTTGGTCCCAGCTGTTGAAGTCACTTTGAGTGTAAATTGAGGAAGTAAGGCCTAGCTGAGGAACTAGGCCTGGTAGATGAGTCTTTGGGTGTATCTTGCCCCACCCCCTTCTTGGATTCCCTTTTTTCTTCCTGGCTACCATGATGTTAACTGTTCTATTCCACCATTCCCTTCTTGCCACGATGGACGACCAAAACTGTGAACCACAAGAGAAATAAAAAGTAACTAGTGGTTGACATTTGTATTGTTTCCAGTTTTAGTCTGTTGTAACAAAAGCTGACACAGTGTGTGTGTGTGTGTGTGTGTGTGTGTGTGTGTGTGTGTGTGTGTGTGCACTTGTGTGTTTATGGACATGTATTTTCATTTCTCACTTATCTCAGAGTGGGATTGCTTGAGCCATGTAAATGTTTACCTTTCCATGAAACTGACTAACAGTTCTCCAAAATGATTGCATGTAGTGGCATCTTGTTCTGCCAATAGACTTGAGGTAATGGCCTTAGGGTGTGGCTTTGGTGTGCGGGCATGACCCCTTATAAGGAAGAGGAGGAGCCCACTCAGGCTTTCTTGGGTTGTGGTCACAACATCCTGGATTGCAGACTCTGCAACTCCAGGAGCAGAAGACCTGGGTGATTATTTGCCATCATTGTGTGAGTCCTGCGCAAATAAATATCTGTCATTCTTTATTTGGACATTCATGGACTTCCTTTAAGGTGCCTTCAGTTGCACCATTTGATATTCTTGCCAGAGATACATGAGCATTCCAGTCCTCTTATATTCTCATCAAGGTTTGATGTTTGTCAGTCTTTCACACTTTGGTTATTGTTATGGGTCTAAAAAATAGCATCTTGTGATTTTTACTTTCCTATAGACTTCTTTTAAAATGCAGTCCTTAGCCTTCTAGAAGGAGACTGAATACCTAGTATAAATGAGTGCATCCAACTGAGGAAAAGCATCTACTCTGGGCTGCTTCATGCATTCGGTCGACAAACAAGTATTAGCCACCCATCACCTCTTAGATTCTAAGGAAGAGAAGTGAACAAACAGGAATCTTGATGACTCGTGACTCAGTGTAGAGCAAGCAGGTATGAAGGACCCTAGAAAGCAAGTCTGAAATACAAATATGATGCTGTGAACAACAGGGAGATGGGAGATTGGTAACAGTGGAGGGGGTATGGGGGTATCTGTCCTTATCCACCTGTGAGTAGAAGCATGTCCCCAGGAAGACTGTTTCTGCTTCATTCAGTCTTGCCTCCCATTCCCCTGCTTCTGAATCAATTCTGACTCTCTCATGTCCTGGTTTGAGGATGCTCAATCAGCCCTTTCCACCCCCTCCCAGAACAAGGAGGCAGATCGCCATCCCTGCCTGCTTCTTGGGAACATGTTGTTCTCATTGCTTGTGACTCGTCATCAGAGAAATAGCCTCTGTGCTGCTGGAGTGTGTTCTAAATGAAAGCACTAGGGGAGCTGGTCATTAATTTTAAGTGTGTCTATTGTTAGCGAATGATGTCACCACTGAGCTTGCCAAACTGTCACAAGCAATCTAGATGTCTTTCAGGGTTCTGTAGCGGAGACAGCTCCATCCTGCAGCATGCAGGCTCTGAATACTATCTGGGCTCTGTGTGTGGCAGCCGAGCTTTGGGTACTCGTTGAAAATAATACTGACTCTTGGAAGCAAACATTCTGTCCCCATGACTCAGTCAAACTTCTCCTTTCTAAGGAGGAGAAATGGCAAGATGCTGGCTATTAGTGATTATATAAATGTCAACTCCCGTCCTTTGGAGGCTTCTCAAGTAGGAAGTCATATCCTATTTATCATGATGTGCCTGTGCCCTATTGACGATTTTTATTTTGGTTTTTTTTTTATTGATTGATTGATTCTCCATTAAGGAATGTAGGTTTCTTAAAGACAAAGGCCATGTGGTTGTACTTGTATAGCATCCCTTGCACACGCTAAAGCTATGTTGTCTGTTGCTTGGTGGAACAGAGCATGTCCAATTTAAAAAAAAAAGATGGAATATAGAGTATTCTGGTTAGCTTTCACTATCAATTTGAAACAACCTGGAGCCACCTGAGAGTGTATATTCAATTGAGGAAATCCCTAGATCAGATTAGCCTATGGTCATGTCTGTGAGGGATTATCCTGATTATTCACTAATTGCAGGAAGGCACAGCCTACTGTAGGCAGCGCCATCCCTAGGCAGGCAATCCCGGGCCATATGAGAAATCTAGCTAAGTATAAGGCAACCAACAAGCCAGCAACTGAACTTCTTTGGCTATGAAGTGAGTTCCTAGGTGAGAGGTAACCCTATGTAGACTAGCCTTCCTTCAAGGTCCTGCCTTGAGCTTGCCTTGACTTTCCTCAATGTGACTTGAATTAATCCTTTCTTCCCCTTTGTTGCTTTTGGTTGGAGTGTTTTCTCACAGTGACATAAAGAAAACTAGAACACAAAATAAGAGAATCCTATTATTAGTATTTTAGAATCATCTGGAAAAATATTCTGTAACATGTACCATATACAAAGATCATTACATAGACTACCATAACTTCAAGTAATTAATTCCCCACAAAGAAAAACAGATTCTTTGTGTGGAGTCATTTATTGAAGAAATGAAAAGGAAATTGATTGATTGATTGATTGATTGATCGATTTTTTACCCTTGGTCTAGCTGAGATTTGAGCCACTGGAGAAAGTATTTTATGGCAAGTATTTCTAGGTGTTTGGGGGACAGAGGTGTTTTGGGACAATCCTGGGGATGGTTCCCAGTACCCTATTCATGCTAAGCACTCATTCTACCATGGAGCCACAGGCTGAGCCCATTTTTGGTATACTGACTGGAGGCAGGGGGGGTTAGGGGATGGTGGCATGGACTTGTAATACCAGCACTTGGGAAGCTGAGACAAAATGAGCTTTG